GTTAGAAAGGTCTGGCGTGGGATACTCAAACTCGGGCAAAATTTAATGAAACAAGTCACAATTTTTCCTCATTTGCTGTTATTTTTGTATACGAGCGTCGAGCTTCATGTGGTGTGTCTTGCGCCCTGTGTATGGTGCCCTTTGACCTGAGTTTCCCATCTGACCTTAAAGTGAGTCCCTCCATATGTACAGTTGAGTCCTACATGTATGAATTTGCTCTCCTGCCTCATTCAAAAATGTATAGAAAAATTCACTGTATGATGAGCAGGTATTTATTAAGAGAATTCATTTATGCTGCCCATGCAAATATTTGTAATGTATACGTATATACAGGTGAAAATTGAATGCTAATTTAATTTGTCAATGAGTGGAAGTAATCTTGTTAAAAGGTAAAAAAGCAATGTGCATCTTATCATACATTTGCGACATTGTGCATACGAGTCGTAATAGTTTAGAGCTTACTGGCAGTCGCTCTGCTCCCACATACGTCCCTGGCTCACGCCCAGATGTCAAGTACTGTTGTGAGATCTACTTGCACAGAATGACCTTTTTTCTTTTAGAAGCAACGGTGATGATGGCGACGGAGACAAAGACCGCGTCAAGGTGCTACCTGAACCGGCCTCTTAATGTTAGTGCACTTCCCTCACCTACCCTGTGTGAGCCATGGGACATCTTAGTGCGGTGTGGCTGGCCTCGTCCAAACCCAAAGTCCATCCATGTGCCAATTGTTACCCACCTTCCCCTCCTCCCTCTTCCTCCCTCTTTGTCCAGTTGTAGCCCTTATGGTAGATTTCCCTACTTTGTCTGTAGAGCCCTCCTGCTATATGTATATAACTATACAGGTATATATATGTAAACATATTACATTTTTATGTTTTCTGTTATTCTGTATTTGTATCTAATCTTTATTTCATAGTGTGCAAATGGTTATGGTCAGTGTAAGGCTATTCTGTCAGTAATTGACTTTCTCCATGAATTGTTGCATTTGTAGCAAACAGTTTTCAGTATCTTTAGAAAGCTGAAGGTATTTTCCAGTGAGTTCATTTTTTAATAATGATAGTAGAGTATCACCTCCGAATTAAAATACTTACTTGTCATCCCTGTAGTTCTCTGTTCAGCTATGATAAATATTTTGAAATAATTTTATCATGTATGTACCACTGAAGATCATTTCTGATTGAAACATTTAGCTACGAGAATAATAAATCTGTGGCAAAGAGAAATTGCCTTCTGAATTTCACTGAATAAGCAAAATAACTTAACACTTTATTCATAAGAATACATTTCTGTCACTGATATCTTAAAAGAATTTGTTTCCCATTAGAATGGTTACCAAGTTTGTGATTCTTAGAAGTTTCCCACAATTGTGTGTATGTCTCTAGAAGTTGATTAGAGAACCTCACCTGAAGAACATTGCATTATCCTGGGATTTACCTGTATGATCATATTTCCACCATGAGTCTCCGTATCTCCTTACTGATATTTCAAAGAGATTCTGTTTGCAATTATGTCAGACTACCAGAAGAAAATATTAATCTAAGTTACGAGCATCAGTGTTTTCTATACAGTAGGATACATCCACTTTCTTTCTTGAAAATACTCATTATATTGTATGTATCACTCCCAGATACAATTTAACATTGCAAGTATCATCACAATGATTAACATCAAAGATACTTCAGTATGTGTTATTTTTTATTCTTTTCTTTTGTATGCATTCCTGTATTGGTGAGCTTCCATCCAGTCAGTAACCCAAGGTTTACTCTGGTTCTTCCCATACAATGGGGAAGTGACTCACACTTACATTCCCTCTCATCATGCAATGGTGAACTCAAGAACTCTCCTTATCTCCATGGAGTCGCCTCTCTCCTGTTCTGGACTTTGCCTGTGTAACCTCCTGCTTTCTTTGCCTGCTGTACTGAAATATCAGACTTACATCTTAGATGCAGTAACTTCCACTTACCCATTTTGCCCCTTGGCCCGTTGGTGGCTTTCCATGTCATGTACAATGTATTTATAATGTGCATTATACACAGCATAAAATCCTTTTGATTTACTGTTCGATGTTTCAATTTCCTTCTGGAGTAAGAACTGATACTGATATTTTTACTGTTAAGGGTCTGAATGAAAAAATAATTAACTTAGGTTAATGAAATAAGACAATGATTTTGTTATCAGCAGTTTTTCAAGATATGATTTTTTTTTTATTGTTATCTAGTGATTATTTTGGGTCCTGCAAATAGTGCAAATCATTGTTCATGTATATATCACATATTTTTAACTAGCAGCTAGATGCATATATATTTACTCAAAAAAAAAAAAAAAAAAAATCTCTTTCATATCCTTGTATATGAATGTTTTTAGAACTATTACTGATTGAGAAATGTGGCTAATACTCATAATGCTATGAAATATTACGCATATTAAATTAAGAAAGAAATACTAAAACTAATGCAAAAAATCTGGACTGGCATGACTATATATGGCAGACTGAAAGACGAATTGAAATAGATCACAGGAAGCAAGAAAATAAGATGCCTACTTGCAGATGACGATATTTATTATCACAAAATAATGATAATAATATAAGTATTATAATGAAAATGATAATGGTAATGTCATGATCTTGATGATGATAATAATACTGAATGTGGAAATGATAACAATGATGATATTAGTAATAGTAATGATAAATAATAATAAATGATGATAATAAAATGATGATAGTGATGATGAAGATGATGACAGTATTAATGACAGAATTGATAACTTTCTTTGGCAGTTGGCTATTATCTTCGACATGCTAGAATGGCAAGAAGTAGTTCCTTATACTTACCTTATTACCACATTGCATGAATTTATAATACATCATATCTGACTACGTTTAAGTTTGAGATAAGTTTTTTTTTTCTTGTAATACTTATAGTATAC